CTATTCCCTCGAGCTGGAACGATGTCCGAATCGGGCAGCTGTCCTAGTCACAGCGTTCTTTCTCCGGTTGCACTGATGCCACGACACGAGTCCTGCTTTAAAATCCTTCTCCCTTCGCTGGCCGATGTGAAAGCCGATGGAGAATAGCACCGCTCGACCCCCCTCTGAAAATAAAGCTAATTCGTTAGGTTTCTCCGGCTCGAATCATGTTCAGTAGAACGCCACCGTCGATGGTCAGACAATGCGCTGTCACTGGTCCTTTCTAGTTAAATGAATCTGAGAATTTCGTGATATTTTTAAAACTAAATATATTGTAACTTTGATATATTTGAACGTTTATTAGTAGATTGTGACTTTTTTTTATAGCATTTATAAAACTCTGGAAGTACAAAATTGTATAAAATATATAATATAAAGTAATAATATAATAATAATAATATTACTATCAATATTAATAGCAATAGTAATAAGTTTTTACTATTTATCTTGTTTTCTTATTATATTATTATTATATTATTCTTCTACTTTCTCAATTACATTTTCAAACGGTATAGATTCGCGTAAGAACTCGCAGTTTATTCGTTATCCAATAATAATATCGAGGAACTAATTTCACATTTCCAAAAAATGATAAAAATGTAATAACAATACAAGCGAGAATGGAGTTAACCTTCTCGGATAGAGAATGGAGTTTTATGGATATGAATTACACGGGATCCGTGTTGGTTTGATGTTGTTCCACAGTTCCACGCTATGCCTTCATTCAGCGTTTAAGAAAGCGGAGGGAAGCGGGGAAAGTCTGTGAGTCGCAAAACTCACGCGAATCCACGTGGTGCCAAGTGGGGTGCATTAGCCAAGTTCCCCATTATCCACGCGTGAGAGACCCCTAAATTATCCGGCATTCGCCTAGCGCCGACCTACCCCTCCCTTGAACGTCGGCGAGAAAAAGATGTACGAGTTCCTTTCGCGAGAGAACACCCTCCGTGGATGTTCAAGACGGTGTAGGTGCGATGAAAATCATTCTCATTTCGTTGGCGTACGAGAACGAGCAAGTGAAAACAAGTACATCGTATGTTATAACGCTAAATTTTAGTAAATTGTTAGTCATCTATAATTCAATGATATTATTTGTTAAGTAAAAGAATTGACTTGTTATACTTAAAAAAGATTGAAGATATCGGCACAAAATTTTCCATTTCCACCGCATCTTGATGAGCACATCATGACTGACAACGAATTGACTAATTCGAGAGAAGAAGCACTCAGTGCCGATATTTTGCAATTGTTTCGACATGAATTCAGAGACAGGCATAACCTCGAATACCGCTGAGTACCGTGATCCTTGCGTGGTTTATCTAATTGGAATTGTCGAGAGCTTGAAGAAGGATGCCGGGACCAGCGAGAAGCAACGACGAAAGATGAGGAGAGAGTGAGCAAAACTAAGGAAGTGAGTATAGAGAAGGAAAGTGTATTCGAGAGAGAGAGGGAGGAAGAGGATGAGTACTTGAAGAACCATCGGCAAGGGGGTGTGTAAGTTTGGGCTATCTCTGAGTGCACAGTTCCAAGACGCTCCTTTAGACTATAGTGACGTGACGTCGCCTAATACTCTAATCCCTTCAGCAGAGGCACCATCGTCCGCTTCTGCAGTCCCGTGTTCTTGGGTAACCATCTCCTCCGCTACGAACGACACTTGCTAATTAATTGACGAGTACGGATTTTGAGGTGTCGAGAATCTTCATGTCTGCCGAGAGGGAGGACTGTTATCAGTCGGTGCAGACTGAACACTAAACGCACAGCACTTGCACCGAGTACTTTCCGTTTACATTGATCCCGTGTGATTTTGAGAATATTACATTCAGTCTGTGTATATCTTCCATCCAGAGTTATTTATTTCTTGTCAGAGTCATCGATTTCATTGTCGATGGAACAACTTAATTATAACGTCGTAATAATTACATTCTAATAATTAAGCTGTTCCATCTATGACTTTAACAACAAAAGGATTGCTTTTCACGAAAAGCTGACTTACACCGATTGGTTTTTGAATCCTTCATATATTATTTCTTTTGATAAATAAATTGTTCATATATTCACTTACCTAGGTTCAAAGAATTTAAAAAATTGATTGCTTAAGAATCTGATTCTCATTTCTGAACTCTTCTATAACTAATCGTACTAATAAAATTCTAACGAATCGCAAGATACAAGTTTGTCAATATCAATAAATATTCCTACGTAATAGTAAGAGATTTACTAATAATAGAAATGGAAAAATTAATTTAAATTTCAAAATATCATTTTATTTAAAAATTCTCAAAACTTGTAACTCATTTATTATTAGAAAAGAATTTTTATTTAGTTGGAGGCATAAAAATTCTTGATGAGTATCAAATTCTTTGTTATCTGCTCTCACTACGGCAAATGATCCACTTATTAAATACTTTGTAACCTCGAGCAGTAGAAATGAATGCTTACATCCGTCACTATAGAGAGATACTGCCCAGCAACAGTGCAGCTCGATTTCATTCGAGAAAGACAGGGACTTTAATACGGACGTGACATTTCCTTGAACGCGAAAACGAAACTAATCTTTACGCGACAGCACGTCGACGGACGTAGGTACTCGGTCCAGGAGAAGGGCTGCTTTCTAATTATTCCCCACAGGCCATAAGGGATGACACGTAATTGGAGGGTGGACGAGGAAGCATTGATCCCTAACTGGAAGGGATTCGAGATCTTCCTTGCTCCGCTTCAGCCACTTTCCTCTCTCTCTCTCTCTCTCTCTCTCTCTCTCTCTCTCTCTCTCTCTCTCTCTCTTCATCTTTCACTTGCTCGTTTAGTCCTCGAACTCCCGAACACCGAGATGCCGGACCAATGAACATTGACCGGCAAAGAAAAGTGATAATGTCTTAAGCCTCCGGTGCGATTTAACTTCCGATTTTAGTGAGAGAGGGCACACTCTCTCTCGCCGCGGTCCTTTCTAGGAGTTCGTTGCTCTAAACTCACCGAGCGTTCTCCGTGGTCTGAGGAGGGTTTAGGGTTTAAGGAAAGCCCTCTCTCACTCCAGAGATCCTTCCCAAGCTCCCGCTAAGCGCTCACGCTGATCCTGCTCTTCTTCTTCTTCCTGTATCTCCCTCCCTCGGAACCTCCGATAGTTTATCTAATTCCAGTTGTAGCTTCCGCGCTATCGCTCTAAACCGTACGCGAACTGGCCGATGGGGGCTGGCCCCGTCGATTGAAAATATACGCGATCGGGAAACGGGCCGAGAGGCGCAACCGTGCCCGTCCAAGATGAATTTGGCCCGGCGATGTGCACGCTAGCCTTTTGTTACGTAACCGATCGATAAATGTCGTCCGAATATAGCTACATCCTAATATCTAGCTGGAGAAACGTTCAAGAACAACCCCCCGTTCTAGTAGACACTTTATGATTATTTTCGTCAGGAAGTTGAAAAACTTGGGAAAAATCGACTTGCTGTAATTTAATTCGATCGGAGTATACACATGTACACGTACACATGCACGCGTGACTCTGGCAGCCTTAGAATATAATGATTAATATAAATAATATAAATGATTAATAATAAAAATATCGAACCGATGTGATATCGTTTTGCAATGTGTGTTCTGAAACTCTTAACAATGATGTACATTTGAAGCAAGTAATTAGCATTCTCATTGATAAGAATTTTCAAACTTGTATTGCAGAGAAATATAAATTTATTGGCAATTGGAGAAAGCTGATACAAATACTGCTATATATATATATACACTCGGTATATATTGATAATTCTAATAAACGACGCTTCTTATATACAACGACCGTTACCTTATTCAGGCATTATAAAGCACACTTGCGTTTAACGAAATTCTAACTCAATAGCTGCCGCCGTAGAAGTGTCGAAACAAATGCATTTATTACACAAGTATCGATAATGACGCACTACAATCACCGAGCTCTCATTCACGATACATGTTTTTAAACCAAGCGCGATAATAATCGTGCGTTCCACTCGGTACCCCTAAGTTGTCTATACAGTCGCAAGAGGGGGTCTGTTTAAACGCGAACGCGCGGCGGTCGTCGGTAATCAGAAGTAAATACGGCAATGATCACGGGAGCCGTCGCCGCCGAATTCTCGCAGTTTAATTCTAATTGAATTTGACGTTGCTCGTTACGGCGGGCCAGACCCCGGCTGAATGTAAAAAAGACAGGAGGTCTCTGGCCGGGGACCAGGATCGCCGGGACTCTTAAGGCAAGCCGGGAAAAGAGAACCAGGTAGCACAGGTAGATCGTGAACGAGACGGACGAGCGAGGGTGGTCGGCAAGGAGGTGGTGGAAGTTAAGATGTGGGTGAATATAAGCGGAGCGAAGGTGTACCAGCGCCCGTAGTCCAACACACTGAGAAACACCTTGGTGTGCATCCAGGGGCCGTGTCCCCCTACTCCGTCTCTCTCCTTATTTCCCCTTTCTCTCTCAGTCTCTCTCTCTCTCTCTCTGTGCTCAGGGGGGTTGGTGAGGTGAGAGTGACGGGGGATGTGCTGAGAGGCCGGGAATCGCGTTCCAGCCAAAGCTAAAAGGGGTGGACAGTGCGCAGAACCCGCCCCCACTTTTCGCGACGAAGCAGAAGCTGCCAGTTGCTCGCGCAAGCCTTCATCCCCTCCGGTGTCGCGGTGGAAGATCGCCACCCCCGAACCAACTTAAACATAGCACACAGTAGCTCGCGAGCACCCTGCGTGGAAGGGCTTTTCCGCGCACTTGTGCGACGCAAAGGCCACCGCCGTCTATATATCGAGTCGTATATATCGAGTCGGCGAGGCCGACCGAAGCACGCGTGACTGGTGCGTGAACACGCGAGCGCGCGCGTGCGTACATATATGTATATATCACGTCGAGTGCGTGCACGATCCGTGTATCTACGAATTCCGTGTTCCCGATAAACAAAAAAAAAAAAAAAAAAAAAAAAAAAAAAAAATTATAGAACAACGGATCGAGCGAGAGTGTAACGTATAAAGGGAGAGAGAGAGAAAGAGAGAGGGAGGGAGAACATAAAAGAGAACGAAGTGGTGTTGTTCGATCGAAGAGAAATACACGTTCGCTGGCAGAATTTCATTTTCGGGCCGAAGATCAGAGACGTCTCGACTGGATGGAAAGGGCCCCGGGACTCGAGGCAATGTCCTCGATGAACCTGCATGGCATTCAGGTGAAGTTTCTTGAGAAAACCAGGTTACTTTAGGCTTCGAAAAAAAAAAAAGAGAAAAAGGTAAAAGAATAGAAAGCGAGGATTAAGAAGATGGGACGGGTGGTGTGAATCGTTTGGAACTGACAGAGATTCTGTTCCCCAGCCACGGGAATTGGTTTTGTTAGATGTCGAGCGACCTTGAGCGAGCTGATTGCACTCATTGATCAAAACTCACATGCATCCATGCATCCGATGAGAGAGCAGATTTCCTGATCCTCTGGAATTTTTGTGTTCCAGGGTGGAACTGACCAGCGTGCCAGGTGGCCAGAATGCGATGGCTCATCTCAAAAAACGGAAGCTGGAAGCAGAATCTGTCAGCCCAAATCCTAAGCAACCGCAACAGCAGTCACAACAACAACAACAACAACAACAACAACAGCAACAACAGCTGCACTATCAGCAACAGCAACCGTTGATGAATAAGAAGGCTGCTCAACCGATCATTCCCCAAGAAATGGAGACAGCTGATGCTGCGGCTAAACGAAGAAGAAAAAGCGTTCGCGATGACGAAACCCGTAAATCGTTGGACGCCAACGACTCGAGTAAGAACATACCGTTACCGCAAAAGAAGCGAGCGTTCGCTGCCGGTAACTCGGGTAGCCCGGCGAGGAAATCGAGCAAACACTCGGAGGAACCCGAGGATGACGAGACTCTTATCAGAGAAACCGAAGCTGCTTTGAAGAGTCTGTCCGGTAGTTGGCCTGGTCCAAGAGATTCCTTGTATCAGCGAGGCAATTCGGACGAGGACAAATACGAGTCGAACTTCGAGAACTTGTTCGAGGAGAAGAAAGACAATCCTAAATTGTCGCCTTCTTCGATGTCCACTTCATCGACCACCAGCAACGATGCAGGTTGCTCCTTGAAAGACGTGATATCGTTCCGTGGCCAGCAGGATCGAAACAGCAGAGCCCAGCAACTATTGAAGCAACAAGACATCAAGCAACAGCAACATCCGAGCAAAGTGAAAAAGGATTTGGACAGTTTGTTAAAAACGGAAAACGAGTGCGGCATTAGCCAAGTGAACAACCAAGTGAACCCGAACGAACCGGGTAAAATCAGACCAGTGCCGGTGAGGTCCTTATCGAACAAAGACAGAAACGACAGGAGCATGATCGGCACGCACATGGACGCTCAAGGTCGACAGACGGACAAATACTCCAGATACGATCCACCCGACTTCAACGAGCTCGTTGACGATTCGTCCAACGAACTGGAGATTGACATGTCGGACCCAGCTGCCGAGAAAGACGAGGCTGACAGGGACAAGCTCAACGACAGGGACAGGGATCGAACGTGCCGGAACGGCCAGTCGTCGCAAAATTCCAGACAGCAACAGCAACACCAACACCAATTGTATTCCAACTACCACAGACAGTACAACGAGAACGGTATGAAGGTTTCGCCGACCGCCACCAGCAGCTCATCTTCCTCTACCTCGTCGAATTCACCGTTCTCTGCCACGTCGGCGTTCAGGCCACCCAACACGGATCACGCGAAAGCGACTGGCAGCGGTGCACCGGCAGTAGCCGTGGCATCGACGACGATTCCACCTATCGGTCCTTATCCAGCGTCCGCTACGTTCGTCGGTTACCCCACTGCCGGTCCAGGACCAACGATGCCGACACCGCAACCTGTTACAGGAATCTCCACTGCCACGGAGGACAAACACACGTCATCCGTGTCGTTGCTACAGTTGAAATCGTCGAAGGAGGAGGTACATCACGTGACGAGGCACGAGGTGACGACAAACCCCATGACAGGCAACAAGAGTCCAACTGGTGGGCTACCTGCCGTTACCAGTCCAGATTCCTCGAAGCAGTACACGATTCTGCAGCCAGCTGGTATCGGATCGAGGGCGGCCAGTGCGATTCAGGACATAGCCAGAGAGGGAGTGGTCAGTGTGACGGCTGTTAGCAGTTGTAGCACGACCAACGGCAGCACCAACAACGGCATCAACAGCAACAGCAACGGTACTTGTACGAACAACGTGGGTAACAAAGTTACAAGCAACAACGGTAGTGGTAACGCGAGTAACACTGCCAATCCGGTCAGCAACAACGGCAACAACGGGAACAATGTGACGAACAGTATCGCGATCACCGTAGTTTCCACCAGTACGACCACGTCCAGTCCGACGACTGGCGCCGATGCGACATCGGGAACTGCGACTGGTCAGCAAGAGTCTGTTATGAAAATGCCAGAAAGGACAATTTCCTTTGATGGCAGCAGACCGGGAATGTCCATGTCTCCGTCCAGTCTTAGCAGAGGTGAGAGTTTCAATCCAATACATTGTTCGGCCAATCAAATTTTGGAAATGTCCTCGCTGATTCGTTTTGAAAGAACTTGGGGATCTCGTAACAATGGAATATACTATCCCTTGAGATATTCGATCAAACGTATTCATAAATATCGACATTTTTGAGATAGAAAATACTACTACATTTGTTTGAAATATATATGTACGAAAAAGTAAAGTCAATTGAATTTGCAGATACGACGGATTTTAATAGTTTTAAATATTTTGAAAACTTACGTTTTGATCGAAGACTTTTTCCCATGGGTGGTAGACAGTCGCGTGTCCCGTCGAGACTTTAACGACTGCAAATACGAGCAACGTTTCAAACCGCTTTCTCTAATCGGGACGATTTTCATTGACGAGCCAGGATAGATCAAAGTCGAGGAAATTTGCGAAATCATTGATGAGGCAAATGTCGATGGTGCTAGTAGGCATAGCGTCCGTGTGTTATCCAGTACGAGAAGGGGACAAAAGGCATTTTCGACGCTCCCGCGTACGGTACTCTTCTCCTACTGTCAGCCTCTCTCTCTCGCTCTCTGTCACACTCTCGCTTGCTTTCTCTATGAAGTTAGGGGAGTTAGGGTAGCACGGAAAATCAATAATTACGAAGCGAGGGGCGATGACTCAAATGGTGAAATCAAGGTCTCTCAAAGTAAAGTTATTCTCCGTATCCTCTGCTACAGCCACTTTGTCTTCGTCTTTGGCGCAGCTTCGAAACTATTCGCTTGATCACGGGAACGTCGCGATGATCGTAAAGACTGGCAGCACGCGCAGGGAGGGGGAGGACTTGCACCTATTAAACGCACTCGACCACGTGCCCTTTAGAATCCTATGCTATAACTCGGAATTTACGTTGCCATTCTTTCCAAATTACCTTCTCTCTTTCGTTTTTCCCTTTTTTTAACTCATTCACTTTTCTGAAGTTACGTACGTACTCTGATTGTTTCTCTACTCTGAGAGAGTTACTTCACAGAGATAGGAACGCTGCTGAAAGGTTCTGTAATTAAAAAAAAATTTCAATACGAATAATTTTGATATTGTCATATTTTAAATATCAGACTCGGATAATATTTTATTCTACTTTTAGTTTCAAAATAAAATGTAATATTTGTCATACTATGCCGTGAGCAAATAATAACTGAACTTATATTTGTGTAAATTTATAAAGTTTGATAAATGAAATCCAAATAAAAATTTGTTTCATCAATTAAAAATTGAATTATGGTCTGTGATTGTATTCTAGTAGTATAACATAACATAAATAATTACTACTAGTATAAAGAAACTCGTCGTTAAAAAATAAATTGTTTCATTCTGTTATTATAATTTTCATTATCGATATCTTAGTCAACTAATATTTTTTAGTAAATAATATTTATTTAAAATCTAAATGAAAAGATTGAAAGAGGGACAAGGGAAAGATCACCGACGAGGGGAAACGAAAAAATCAGGGAAAATTCCAGTTGCGCCAACGGGGAAACATTCCACGGTGTGACAGGTGGGAGTTCGAGTGCATTCCAGGGTCTTAGGGCAGCGACGACACGATGTGCCTAGACGGGGAAATTTGGGGTTGATACCACGTCATACGTATAAGCCGCAGCTGTCAGCAGCTAGAAACGTGACTAGCATCCTAGCCACACCACGCTACCTTATTACCACCATGCGGCTCCACTGCCTGTCCTCATTATTCCCTTAGCGTTTTCTCTAACTGAAGCTGCGAAGGCGAGCAGTTCAAAAATTCAATTATCGTCATTTCGTGTCCCGTTATAAATTGACCTGGATAGATCAGCTGCGGTATTTATAAACTATATATCAGTTACTCGTCGTAATGTGAAAGAACATTAATATCACGTTAATACAAGTCTCACATATTTTCGTAGTATAAATTATGCTAGAAATTCTGATAAAATTCTTCGAGTAAACCGTTGTATAAACTTTCTCATACACTTGTATTTAATTTCACTCAATGAAAAATATTGAAACAACGATCAATATGTTGTGTCTATCGATAGAAACAAAGAATCGTGCATTACAGATCAATCTTATCTATTGATACTTTGTCATTTGAATCTCTGTCGGACTTTGTAAAACCTTAAATTTTATAGAGTACGCTATCTAATACTACAGTAGTCTAATCGGTCGCTTTCGTTGCGTTCAATGACATTACCATGCACGTCAAAAAATTTGTATAATACAAACAGAGAACTTCCAACGCCGCTCAGAACGTTTACGTCGAAGGAGTTCCAGCGGCACCTGTCAATTTCTGAGGGTGGTCGATTATTAAAAGATCCGTAGGTGACGATAAGCCGTGCAATCCAGCTCGACGGAAATCTCGGTGAACAAACGCGGGGCCGTGATAAGTGGGTACGATTAATCGCATACTTACAACCGTGACGGCGGTACAGGCGTGCCGGACCCTACGTAGCCTATAGTTTTAATCGCCATTCGCGCCGCTCGTTCCCAAAGCCTTTCGATTTAGCGACAGGATCGCGTGCATGTCGCGCTCCTTCCTCTCTCTCTCTCTCTCTCTCTCTGGTCTCTTTCATTTTTTCTCTCTGTCGCCTCCGTTTTCACTCTGCCACTCCTCTCCCTATCTCTATCTCTCTCTCGTTTTTTTAAAATATTTTCTCTTTTTTATTCAACACACCGCTGACACACACGGTGCACGGGCGTAAGAGCGTGTTGACACGCCATAAAACCACTATCGGGAAATCCGTCGGCCGCAAAAACCACCCTTTCCGCGTTGAAACCGCGCGGCAGGCAGGGTTGGCCTGGCTAATAAAAAAATAAACTGCCCTGTAACTCAATTTTACGCTGCCTTTGCGACCGCACGCATAAAAAGGACCTTTACTCGCCGCGCAGGGGCTCTACCCTCGCGTTACGTCCGCGCGCGCGCACGCACGCACGCACGCACGCACACACCACCGTGTGTAAATACGTACCTTGCGATTGTTCTCTTTTTTTAGAATCTTTCGTCTTCTATTACCTGCCTCCGCTTCTCGGCCTTTAAGATCCCATTCTAAGTCAAACGATCATCTTGCAACATAATTACACCATCTAACGATTCTCGATATCACGAGAAATATCGGTCCTGTCTTGTCTCGCGATGCATATTTAACTTGGCAGAGATACGTTGGACCTATTAATGGACAGATAGGAAGACACTGTTCTTACCTCTATCGACACCTCTTTCTTCGACGATTAAAAGAAGCCTGCGAAGGCAGTCCAGTATCGGTCGATTAAAATAAATATACACGCGTCTATTTATTCGCACTCTCGCCTGGCTGTGGACGTTTCAATCTCATCATCGATTGATTGTGAATACGCGGTTCGCGCGTTTAAACTTTCTTTTACCGACGATATGGTATTCGCGCGGTTTCAGCGCGGCGCGTGCACGATAGAGAGACAGAGACAGACAGTCAGACAGAGGGAGAGAAAGAGTGAGAGATGAGAAGAGAAAACAAGGGGAAAGGGAGGAGAAAGAAAGAATTCGGCACGCGTCGTGCAGTGGACCGAATGAATAAAACAATCCTGGTGTTTATGTACACCTCTGGACCTCCCGTGGTGACCCTCACGTGAAATGGCAACAAAATAACACAATTACACACTCGGCCACGGTCCTACCCGCTCTACTCGTCCTCGTTCTCACCCCTTGGATCCGCTCTTTCCTCTTTTCTCTCTGACCCTCTCGCCCATCCCGCCACGGGATCCCATAGCGGCGAAAGGGCGGAGAAAGAGGAAAAAAGAGGAGAGGTGGTCTCTCTGGCTGACCGACTCGTTACAAGTCTATTCAGAGATCCGGAAAGAACAGCGCGTGCCGGTATTCATTTTGTTGACCGGAACCATTATCTGCCCCCTCTCCTCCTCCTCCTCCTCCTTCATTCTTTTCTTCTCTATCCCGGTCTACCGCTCTTCGTTGCCGTTTCTTTCTTTCCTTTTCCACCCGGAGCTTAGGCACCGGCCAGCCGCTTTAAAACCTTACGGCTAATTTATTAATCCCGCCGGCGGCCAACCAACCGCTCTTTAGTCGTTTTTCCCTAGCCTGCCGCTAATTAAAAAGCACGGGAATCCTTCGTTTCTCTCGCCGATCTAGGAAATTATTAGTTACGTTTTCATTAGCAGTATGTGCCTCTTCTATCTGTCGAAATGCTGTCATTATTGGTAATTTGCTGATGGTTTATAATAGAGAATGGTTGAAAAAGGTTTTTCAGGTGGAGGTATGTTTGTATCGAAGATTATTAAACTTCGATACAAACATCTTATTTTATTAAAATTCAAATTAAAAATTTTATTAAAAATTTTATTAAAATTCGAATTAAAAATTTTACAATGAAGTGATTCAACTCTGAATTGTCGTGGCTCCCAGTTGCTCAGTGATTTAGATACCTTTTAAAAATAAATATAAGTGTAGTGAACTGCGAGCAAATGGGGATGATTTTATAGTATTCAGGTGGGAAGTCTATATATCTGATGTATTGGAAGCGATAGTGAATGAGATTAATCTGTGTATGAATGGCTTACGCTGTGTCTGACTAATGTGGCTAATTCTACTTATTGAAGTAGGAGCGCTGGCGGCAAGTTGCATATTGACAGATGACAATTTATTCATTATATTTCTGAATTCAAAAAGAGTGAAATTAAACTGCTGCCTTATTACGTACATGACATTTATCGTGCTATTAATTTATTTTCACTACTTCTTCATATCTAATTTACATCAAAATATCAACAAATACTTGATACTAATTTATTTCCACTATTTACATTTAATTTACGTTAAATACTTGAATAACACATATGATCAATAATATTTCTATATCTCGTACAAAGCGCCCAAATATCTCCATTTAAAATACTCAGACCCCATGCAGAAGAATACGAATCACGTATCATTTCCATACCGGCAGACATTTCTCATTTTCTCTGTTCCAACTCCACTGTTCCAACCATGGAACAAAAAAAAAAAAAAAA